GTGTTGGAAGTTGACCGTGATCACGGTTCTCTGGACCGGTTCGGGCGCCGACTGTACGATTGCGCAAGCAGGGACGGCAACGGATGGTTGCCGGAAGATATTGCAGGAAGACAGTAGTAACTGTCAATATCACTTTCCATATTTTCACAGTATCGCTACAATCTAACAGGTGGTTGGATGGAACGCCCCGCAACGCGCTAGAAGTATGGTTAATCAGTGTAAGTAGATACTCCACTTATGCGCCAGGAGGTAATAACACGCGAAGCAGGCGCTCCCGTGCCCCCGACTACACAGAAGCTCAAGGACAGCATGTAGCAACACCTGAGACCGAGTCAACGAAAATGATAAACCGAAGTTCAAAAGAGGAGTGATTCATCTTTCGATTGATGTCTCCAGACCGTGAAAGCTTGCTTGATGCCTTCAAACCCACAAGATGTTGAGAACTCTGTAAAAGTTGTTTCCCTGATGAACAACTTTGTTTTTTAGTGATCCATTCAAAAATACTTTTTTTCTTACTTTAGATAGACGAACTGCATTAATTAGGAAAACAAAACTAAATGAAAATAACATCAACAACAACATCAGCAAGAACTTCGCGGGGAACGAGTTCTAACTAAGCGACAAACTTGTATTATACGTAGTATGAGTTTGCCAGTATGCAATTCAACTGCCTACTGCGACTTCTTCTGCTCTGCTGGTAGATTCGCACTACCAATCGACAGTATCGGGCGGAAGGTGTTGATGAAAGTGTATCGTGAGAAGATCACAAAAAGTCGGCGATACCACACAAACTGACTCTGATGCAATGCCATCGCGTTGTAGTTCCATCGCGGTCGGAAGATAAAAACAAATTGTCTTGCCTCCTGCTCGTCACCCTTCCGTGACATCCAGAAGGACATTGCAGTATCCAACAGCCCCACGTATTTACGTATGAGGTTGGTGCTCTCAAGAGCCCAGCCACGGACGCTCTTGGACTCTTTGCTGTCATCTGCTGCACTGCATTTCTCTTGTTGTTCACGAATAGCCTTCTTCACTCCATAATACGTCGCAATGTGGTTGGCATGACCCGATACGCCATAGTCATCGAACGTAAAGACCTACAGTACACCATGTCAGTGTTCCACTTCACTAAACCTCAGCAGCTTCAATACGCACCGCATCGATCTCATTCTTCTCGATATACTCAGTCACAATAGTAGCAATGTGCGCTACATCCCACTGGTTCTTCATGCCGTCTTGGAGCTTGGGATCTTCCAGCACTTTGACATGATCGGTCGACAGTCCGATGTAAGTGGCACACGCGTTTAATTCCTTCACTCTAACGTCTCCCAGACCGTCGAAATTGCCCCGAGAGAGACACAATAAGTGTATCTTCCAGACATCTTTGCTGTATTCTGTTTGCTGCTGTAGCGAGTGCACCAGAGGCAGGAAAAACATGCTCTCATCGTCCGGATGCGCAGTGACGATCAGCGCCCGCTTGAACTGCGGAGAGGACGTCGAGTTCTCATTGGCTGACGAGGTGAAAAACACCAGCACCGCAGCGAAGAACAGGAAAATGTTGGTACCGAGCAAGAGGTACTTGAACATCTCCAGTAGCGTCTGCAGTTCGTCTTCGCCCAAGTCGAACAGCATCTTAGGCTCAAAGTGACGTATTTTCGGGAATGGCTCGCAAAATTCACTTGAAATTTGTATTGAATTCGATTAAGTACGTTATTGAGACGTATCCAGGAGCTCCTGGTAGCGAGTGACGAATGCTGCCGCTGTGTTGGCGATCTGGACGGTGTGATGGCTCTGGAGCGACTGCATTTTGGCCATGAATCTATCAGACGTGATATCGGCGAATGCACTCGAGTCTAACAGGAAATACGCGATCGTTAGAGCGGAGAGCGTCACGTTTAGCTCCGACGACGACGTTGGCTCGCTCTCGAGCGAAGTTTCGAGGATGTAGGGCGCTATGATCTCCACTCCATCGCCGTCAATGAATTGCTGCTGTAGTAGAGGATCTGGGACGCAGTTACAGATGCCTCCTAGTGCAAATTCCACCAGTTTGTGCCTCCGTGAATGTCGAGACAGAGTTTTTATGGCTGGTCCTTGTTGCGCCGACTTGGACTCTTCTTTCGAGTCTTTGGCTTCTTGGTCGGCGTCCAGGATGTCGAGGAACAGATCCATGATGCGCAGACGACAGAGAGACGCGTAGTTGATGGGATCGTACGCAAAGTTGCCCAAGTTTGCGACGATTTCCTCCTTCCGAAGGATGTCGGGCGAGCGCTGGAACTCGTCCACCAGTTGCTGCAAATACTCGTGACGTGGCGCCGCGTATTGGCCTTGACGCTCCTGCAGACGCTCACGTGATGATAACATTGTACTTAAAGTTAGTGGTGTTCTGATCTATGTGTTCTGAAGCCGAATGAAAACTGATGGACACGTGAAATTCAAGTTTGTCTATGACACAATAATTGTGATCTTGGGGGCGGAATGACGCTCTACAGAAGCTTCTTGTAAGGTTTGATAGGGTTCACGATGCTGCGGCACATGGGGTTCGTGCAGCCTGCACAGTTAAGAGGATAAGCCGACGAGTGCAGCTCCTCCGAGTCCAGATGCGCCTTCACAATATCCGCCTGAGCCTTGAACAGCAGCGGCTCGTCATTCAACGACGGGCATCGCTTGAAGTTCTGCATACAGATCGACAACGTTAGTTACTTGCACAGCGACGTACTGTAACAGACAGCAACGCACCGTAATGCCAGCGGCGTGGGCCTCCTCGCCGTACTCAATGTCGATCTCGTACAGCGTCTCAATGTGGTCGGAAGTGAACGCAATGGGCACAGCCATAACGTGTCTGTTGGCAAATAAAGCAAGGCATTAGAGACCCACACAGCAACACTATCCACAACACAACGCACTTGTGTCCCTGCTTTCCGTAGCGCTCGATCACGTCACTGGTGCTGGGTCCCATCCACGGCAGATAGCCGACCTTGGACTGCCAGCTGAGAATGTGCGGGTTCTTGCCAGCAAGCTGCTTCATCACACGCTCAGCGGTGGCAGCAATCTCATTCACATACGAGTCTCCTTTGTACACCGTCTTCATGGGCACGGAGTGGGCTGAGAACATGATGATCACCTTGTCTCTGTCTTCAGGCGCGTACTGCTCGAGTCCCATCTTGACACGGTTGGCCAGCGCCGAGATGTAGCCCGGATGGGTGTTCCAGCGATCAATAAGCGACCACTGGAAGTCCTCCTTCATGTCCAAGCGGTCCAGTTCGCGCCACAAGTGGTTCATACTGGATCCCGACGTCGTGCACGACCACTGCGGGTACTGTGAGAAGGCGATGGCTCGGGTGACGCCGTCCTCCTTCATCTGCTTCAGCGATTGCTCCGTCAACGGATTAGCGTAGCGGAAGAACACATAGTGCTTATGTGGCGCGCTCTACAGCATACAACGTTAGTCTCTCGTATCGTAGCTCTTCACGTTCTAAGGTAGCTCTTCGCACCTCTGGACGGATCTCGTCGAGGATCTTGCACATGTTCTCGCCCTGAATGTTGGTCCATTTGAGGATGGGAGAGCCACCGCCGATCTGTGCGTATTGGTCCACGATCTGCGGCGTGCGGCGCTTGGCCACCCAAGGACCGACGTATTTCTGCATGGGTCCCATGGGGATCAGCTCTGGGTCGAGAAAGAGGTTGGTGAGGAAGCTCTGCACTTCAGGCAGCGTGGACGGTCCGCCCATGTTGAACATGGCGACGGCAGTGGGCGCCTTCTTGGCGGCGGAGCGGATGGCGGACATGCTGGAGCTCTTGAGCTTGGATCGCGGAATGAAGACTGTGGTCGGACGCGACTTCGGCGGTGATCACATTGTATCGCCTATAACGGGGATCAAGAGCATACAAATTCCAAGTCAAAGCAACGGCAGACGTACGACGACCTCACGAACGGAATGGATGTGTCAATAGCTGAAGCCACTCGCACCGCGTGCCACCACACGCACGCAATGGAGTCTGGATGAGCTCGACTCATTTTATATGGTGCGGGTGGCGAAGAGCAACGTTTGGAGGTGGCAACGCTGGCGTGTCTTGGACACCAGCACGCATAAGAGTTCTCACAACCTGCAGATCAAGCGATTTGCCTCTGCGATGAACTGACTCGACAACCACCTACAGCGACAAAGCTGCACGTGGCAAACAGCGAGCATGCCAACTTCTACATGTACATGCACTGACAGTGTCCAACCCAAGTTGACGGCATGGTGTCAACACCTTTCTGATTGTTCCGGAATGATTGTCGCTTCGGTCCGACCACCAGAACGACTTCTACCACACTATACGTAGTCCACATCAAGTAAGTACAGATCCTACACTTCACACCACCAAAGTTTCCCGCGTCTTTCAAAGCGGCATATCCATCGGTAAACCTTTCTCTGTGAGCGATGCCGCGCGAGATCATCACTCTGCAAGCGGGCCAATGCGGCAACCAGATCGGCATGGAGTTCTGGAAGCAGCTATGCGTGGAGCACGGCATCTCAGCCGACGGTATCGTGCAGGACTTTGCCACGTCGGGCAACGACCGCAAGGACGTTTTCTTCTATCAGGCTGACGACGAGCATTACATCCCCCGAGCGCTGCTCATGGACCTGGAACCGCGCGTTATCAACAGTATTAGCACGTCAACCTTTAGGAACTTATACAACCCAGAGAACTTCTTCGTTTCCAAGGAGGGAGGCGGTGCAGGAAACAACTGGGCGTCCGGATATCACCAAGGAGAGGAACATCATGACCAGCTAATGGAGATGATCGACCGAGAAGCTGACGGCTCAGACAGTCTTGAGGGCTTCGTGCTGTGTCACTCTATTGCTGGAGGCACGGGCTCCGGTATGGGCTCGTACCTACTGGAGAATCTCAATGACCACTTCCCCAAGAAGCTCATCCAGACGTACTCAGTCTTCCCTAACCAGTCGGATTTCCAGAGTGACGTGGTGGTGCAGCCATACAACTCTCTACTGACAATGAAGAGATTGGTGCTCAATGCAGACTCTGTGGTTGTACTGGACAACACAGCATTGAACAGGATCGCAGTGGAGAGACTGCGAGTCGAGAACCCCACGGTCTCCCAGTTGAATTCGTTGGTGTCTACCGTCATGGCTGCCAGCACAACGACGCTGAGATATCCTGGGTATATGAACAACGACCTCATTGGTCTAGTAGCGTCGCTAATTCCGACCCCACGCTGCCACTTTTTGATGACCGGGTACACCCCATTAACAATCGATGCACAAGTGTCAGCAGTGAGAAAGACGACGGTACTGGACGTGATGCGACGTCTACTACAGCCCAAGAACATCATGGTAAGCACGTCGACCAAGACGGGCTGTTACATCTCGATTCTGAACATTATTCAGGGAGATGTGGACCCCACTCAAGTGCACAAGTCGCTGCAGCGTATTCGTGAACGCAAGCTGGCTCGATTTATTCCGTGGGGCCCTGCATCGATCCAAGTGGCGTTGTCGCGCAAGTCTCCGTACGTGGAGACTGCACACAAAGTGAATGGCCTTATGTTGGCCAACCACACGAGCATCGGCGCATTGTTCCACAAGCTACTACTGCAGTATGACCGCCTTAAGAAACATGGAGCTTTCATTGAGAACTACCGGAAGGAGCCAATGTTCGCGGAAAACCTGGACGAGTTCGACAATGCACGTGAAGTGGTGCAGAATTTGGTGGACGAGTACAAGGCCAGCGAACGCGCCGACTACGCCACGTGGGGACAGCCACCAGCCAGCAGCGCTATGGAAGACGTCCGTATGTCCCATTAGATAGCGCGTTTCTAACCCATTTCTAAGTAGGACCACTGTGGTCTATTTAACGTTTCCACTTATTCTTCTTATGTCAGTACTCGTTCACGACGGATGACACTCTCGTCGAATTTGACTAGGAACACCGTCTTGTCTCTCTGTCCGCCTGGAACTTCCACTGTGTGCGCTGTGACCTCCGCCAGGAAGCCGCTGCTGCACAGGATGCCACGCACAATACCGGCAATGTAGGCGGCGCAGTCCAATTGGCCGAGGTCGGGCGGCACCGACACGAACTTGTTGGTTAGAGGCTCCAACTCGTGGATCATGTACTCATCCTCGTTCTCCGTACTGCGCTCCAGCGCATCTGCAGCCTTGCCGAAAAGTGCCTTCCAGCATGTAGACACGATGAACTGTAGCATGTTCAGCAGACGCGTCTCTCTTCGTCCAGATTTCTCGCGGTGGCACAAAAGCTCCACGACGCGCACACCCACACCGAATCCTGCACCATCGAGACGGTTCTCCAGGTCTGAAATGTTCTGCACGCGGCCCTGGAAGTACTGAACCATCTCGGAGAAGAGGAAGGAGAAGGCGCTGAGACTCACCTCACTCTTGCCGCGGCTCAACGGCCGGTCCAGCACGTGCAGGTTCGTCGCCGAGACGCCTGTGCTGCGCCGCCCTGCATCCATCATGATAGCTCGGAAAAACGCGAACTTAAAACGTACTTTGCAGTACAATAATAAATATTCTTGACAGAAATATTTCATTCATTTAAATAAACCATTTCTGCCAACATTATTTTCTTTGCAAGTTTGTATCTTTTGTTTTAGTAAGTTATTTTTTTAAAATATTACTTTCTCTTTCCCGTGGTAGCTGCTAGCTCAACGCCGACAATGCTCATCGAATACCGCATCAACAACAATTTCATACCCACTACACCTGCATAATCTAGCGGCGCAACCGCAAGTGCTGCATTTCAATTATTGTTAATAGAATTCATCCTCAAGAATTGATTCTGGAATCCTGCACCTAGTATTCTGCGCGGCAAGTTTCTTTACGGGTAGCACACAGGTGATCTTTTGTACCCAGTACAATGTCGCTGTCTTCGCTGCCTGCATAGTGGTTATCGTAGCAACTTGATGTCAGCATCCGTACAATACATACTGTTCAGGTTGCGGTTTACTATGCTGCTCTTCCTGGATGGGGAATCTCCGTCATTCCAATCCACTCCAGTTGGTGACTCCACCACAACGACTAATCAACGAGGCATTGAAAGACTGTCACGCGCGCTCATACTTCGAAGTCAGTCACCGGCCACGGATGTCTTCACCTCTGCTGCGGTTAGCTGCTGTGTTGGCGAGTCTGTCTGTCATCTTCGCACAGGTACCGCAAAGTATTGTCTCCAGCCAGCACGAGAACACCCCAACCCTCCAGAATGCAAAGGCGACGGGCTGGCCATCGTTGAGATTCAACTTCACACTAAAGCGAGCTTCCATGAAAGTCCACGGTCATTCGGAGTTCTCCATGATTGCAACCCCCACCATATCGATTAGTGAAGACACGATACTTTACGACGTTTTCGCTCAATTTACACAAGACACAATCCTCTACAACTACACAGAGGTTGGTGGGATCGGATATCTCTCGACTAGCTCGGTAGACGGCAGTCCTTCACTGAAGTGCTACGACTCGACATCGGGGGAAGTCCCGTCGATTAATTCTATCGTTTCGGCTATCAACCAAGCCGCGTCTGCTCCGGCCAGTAACAGTAGTGTTGGCATCGAATGTTCGACTGGAAATCTGTTCAAGGTATCCGTAAATAGCATTAACTTTGGTCTGTGTACTACGAAGTCTTGGGGATTCACGATGCGTGGCAGTGACATGGATATCACGGTGGAATATCTCAACAATCGAGTGGACATCAAAGAACCACTTGATGCTCCTCAACAGTGTATCACAACGTCTTCTTCGAGTTCAGTGACGGCAATCGGGAAATCCTTGCTTACGGGACAACTCGTGCAAAACGACAGTACACGTAAGTTACGAATGGAAATCGACTTTTCCTTGGATGACTCGTGTACGTGCAAATCGAAGCCACGGCCGTGCGTGTTCGTTCATGGTCTGGGAATCAAAAAGGAGCTGGCTCGCAATCGAGATCGGTTCTACTATTGGGGCGACTTGGACGGTCACGCACCATGCTGCACGTCGATGACGTACACGTATCTAAACACATCGGGTAATCCCTGGACGAGCGATGAGTTGCAGCAAAAAGTCTGCAATCGAGTTATGGCAGTGAGCCACTCGAGTAAAAATGCCGTAATTGCTGATACTATTGTGGTGACCCATTCGATGGGAAATCTCATGCTGGCTGGCGCGATTGCCAATAAAAAATGCAGTCTGGACTCTACCTCGACGTGGGTGGGTTTAGCTGGACCAATGAAGGGAAGTATGTGCTCCGACTTCATCCAGGATTCCTGTGCCGGTAGAACGACTGCTGTGTTGGAAACAGTCGCTGAAGTCACAGGAAAATGCCCACCAACTACAGGACTGAAGTCTCTACCCTACCAAGGAGGGCCACACAGTTCAACAGAGCTCGATGAGGCGTACGAGGCGGCACAAGCTGCTTATCGGGCCAATGTGTACGCTGTGATGTGTGGCGAGAACTACACGGGACAAGTTTCCTTGTACCAATCAATATTTTGGATGCTTGGCAAGACCGTGCCACACAAGTCTAAGCGGAATGATGGCATGGTAGAGTTCGACAGTTGCGCTGCGGGAATTCCAGAGTCCAAATTCGGGAATACCTATCGTGACAGATTCTACCGGACGAAGCTCAATCATTTCGACATGGAATTCATTAGTGGCGACGCTATGCTGGATGAGGCTAAGATGCCTGTGAAGTGGTTCGAGTGCTTGTTGTAGTCCAGACACGTAGCGTTTTTGAATGCTGGTAGAATGAAAAGAATATTCTTTCTTTTTAATAGAACATGTTACTTAAGTAAAAGTACTATATTGACCTCAGGTCTAAGGCCTGCAAGTTACAGGCAGCAACTGTTTGAAGTTTTCTGCAGCTCAAGCTTTGATTTTGGCAGCACACAAGGTCTAGATAATACATTCATCATCACGTTGAGCTGACCACCACATCATTTTCTGTTTATCCATCTGATGGAGGACGAGAACCGCGTTCATCCTGGGCTTTGATGTGAGAACTGACACTGTTCACTCCACAGTGCTGCTTCAAGTCTATTACATGTATACTGCATTTTTTAATGCTTTACTTTAAGAAGTGAACTAGTAGCGAACACAGGAAACAAGTGACCTAGTACATTAACGTAAAAGTTGGCCATTATGACAAAAAATTCCTTCCCTTCCCTACTTTACGAACAACACGACACAGCACCATTAGCTTCAGCGCATCAAAAACTTATGGACTATGATACCCTGATGTACTGTACCGTATACAATATGTAGGCATTCCAATGATCATAAGAGATGGGGTACGTTACGAGATTGCGAAGCTAACGGTGGAGAGAGATCCTGTTCATTCCGACTTCTTCTCAGCAGCTTGACAGGACCAAGATGCCGTTCTTTCGGGGGTTGTCATTGGCTTTGGTCTCGCTGCTTTCATTCACGAATGCAGCGGATCACAAGGTATTAGACGCTCAACACTGGAATAAACTCAAGACCGGAACGCCGCTAGCATGGCCAGCGCTGCGATTCCACTTTAGTCTCAAGCAAGACAGCAAGAAGGTTTACGGGATGACCACGTTCGACATGTACGCTAATCCGACTGTCCTGGACAACAACAAGAACGTTCTCTACGATGTCTACGCCACAGTCACGGATTCCAAAGCCGTTCACAACTACACGCTCGTGAACGGCGTCGCGTACTCAGAGAGTACCCCTTTCATGACTGGAAGCTCAACTGGTACCCCCACGCCATTGGTATCGTGCGAGGACACCGAGTTCGATAAACTTCCAGAGATTAACTCGATCGTGGCTGCTGTTAACGAAGTCAAGGCAGGAAATAGCAGCACTGGTACTGCGTGTACAACAGGGAGCTCTTACCAGACTGCGATGAAAGGGGTCGACTATACGGTGTGTGTTTCAGGTACTACAGGCTTCACGGTCCAAGGCCGCGATATGGACGTGTCGGTAGAGTATTTGGAGAGTCATATCGACATTCAGCCTCCGACTATGAACTCTACGGAGAAATGCAAGTCTCAGGCTTCGTCTACCTCTACCACGCCAATTGGGCACGCATTACTGACGGGGGGACCGATTCCCAAAGAAAAGGGCAGAAAACTAAGATCTGAGTTCGATCTTGGTCTCTCTTACAAGGAATTGTCGAAATGTTCCTGCAAATCGACACCGCGTCCGTGTATTTTCATCCATGGTCAAGGACTACAACCCGAAATGGCGGAAAACCAAGACGAGTTCCCTAAATATTGGGGAAACTTAACAGACCACGCGCCGTGCTGTTCGTCCATGAAATACGCGAGACTAGATACGATCCGCAACGCCTGGACGGATGAAACTCTGCAAGAAAAAGTCTGTGATCGTGCCCTTGCAGTCAGTGATTCGAGCACAAAAACTACTATCGCAGACACAATTATTGTGACCCATTCGATGGGTAACCTTATGTTCGCTGGTGCCCTGGCAAATGGGCTGTGTAAACTCGACTCTAGCTCCACATGGGTGGGCTTGTCAGGGCCGATGAAGGGCAGTATGGCTTCGGATTTTATCCAAGACTCGTGCTCTGGCAAGACGAACGCTGTTCTCGAGAAATTTGGCGAAATCACGGGAAAATGTCCCCCTCGAGAGTCAATGAAGTCGTTGGTGTATGAAGGCGAGAGCTACAGTACCAAGAAGCTGAATAGAGCGTACAAGGCAGCGCAGAAGGCGTATCGTGAGAATGTGTACGCGTTGAGTTGTGGCGAAGGTTTTTCCGGTTTGTTGTCGACTTATCAAGCGAAATTCTGGATGTTTGGCAACTTGATTCCTCACAAGTCGGAGAGGAACGATGGCATGGTGGAATTCCAGAGTTGTGCCGTCGGATTCCCCGAATCAAAGTTTGGGGACACGTATCTCGACCGCTTCTACAGGAACAAACTCAATCATTTCGACATGCAGTTCCTTGCTGGCGACTCAACGTTGAATGATGCAAAGATGCCGGTTAGGTGGTTTGAATGTCTGCTGTAAGGCAAAAGATAGATGGTCAGTGTTAGTATGGTAATGAAAGTATCAGTTGGTTTGTGTGGGTATATGCCATAAGGTTTAAACTCTTCTTTTTCTCCCCCAGGGCTACTATTGTAGTTGTTTTAACACTACAGTACTTCTGTAGACTACAGCAATATTGTAAATAGTAATGACGCAGTATACGTGATCCACTTGCCTGAATATTTCTAGCACATATATATGTATATATATACATGGCACTTCTCGATCATAGAGAATTTCTCTGACCAAGATGAAAAGTAAAACCTAAAATGAAGCTTCTTCGATTGGTTCGGTGGTCGCTTCACTGGTACCATCTTGAGCTTTGCCTTCTCCCATCTTTGCCAAAGGAATTCACTTTTCCTGCCAACAAAATGCAAACTTTGCCGCGAGTTTGCTGCTTCAACTGGCATTTTCGACAGACAGACAAGCGAGCTCTTTTTCAGCAGATGCAGAGAGAGAAAATGCTCGACCCTAGGATGAAAATTTTCATTTCGGGAGTCGGGAAGACGATCCCCAAGTCGTTTTATGGCGTTGTGCACACTTTGTCTATGATGCAAGGATGTGCTTTGGAGGATTAGAAAAGTGCAGCAACAAAACAGCAGGTGCAGGAACGGACACCAAGTCGAGTCTTGAGCATTCCGCTTTCTCCTTCCCCGCAGCACCGAAATGTCGGGATCAAGTCTGCGCTTCCTCGTGGCCGTAGCTTTTGTGGCACAGATCATCGCAGCTCAGCGGAAGCTAGAGACTGGAACGAAACTGGAATGGCCTGCGTTACGGTTCCACTTTACCATCAAGCAAGAGTCCATGAAGGTGTACGACCAGACATCTTTCGACATGTACGCTAACCCGATTGTCCTGGACGGTAACAAAGATGTTTTGTACGACGTGTACGCCACCTTCACACAACCCAAGGCTCTGCATAACTACACTCTCGTGGACGGTATCGCGTACTCGGAGATGACTCCTTTTACAACTGGAAGCTCATCGGGCACGCCGACCCCTCAAACGGTGTGCTTGGACTCCGAGTCCGGCAAACTCCCGGCCATCAACTCTATCGTGGCTGCTGTAAACGAGGCCACGGCTGCGTCTGGAAATGGTAGTGCAGCTTCCACGTGCGCGACGGGGAGTTCGTATGAGGCGACGATCAATGGCGGAGACTACGAGATCTGCGTTTCAGGAACGAGTGGTTTTACCATGAAGGGCAGCGATATGGACATGTCGGTGGAGTATTTGGAGAGTCACATCGATATTCGAGCCCCGACGATGGACCGCAAGGAGGCGAGTAAATGTAAAGACTTGGGACTTTCGAGCTCCGTGAGCGCAGTTGGACATGCTCTTCTCACCGGCGAGCCGATGCCCTCTGGGAAGAAAGGGAAGCGAGGCATCGATCTCGATTGATAAACTAGCCTTGCCAGGTTTGTTTAGAAAGGTTCCTACATTTCTATAAGTCTTTGATACGAGGTGCAAGAAGTTAAGTTCTATTCAGTGGTTCGAGGAAAATCGTGCTGTCTAACGCGAAAGCGATCACACATATCTTATCAGCATGGTCTCAAGTCAACCACGAATTGGATTTAGTGTTGGAGCCAAGTTGGAGTCTTAAGTTCCGAACGATCTACTTCTCCAATCACATTAATTGCCTCCGTGTATGCGTTTGAAAATGGAGACTCTATTCTTCTTCTTTTGGCACCAATATTCATAGAGGAATGGAAAACGGGGGGTCTAGAATTACTACTACATGTACACCTAACTGCAACACTGTACGGGGAGGATTACGACGAACGCGAGGTATTGGATTCGAAGCGGTACGCCGTGTTCAGGTACTTCCAAGTAGTACCAGTTGTAAAGAGTTCTCACATTCAGTATGTTACACAGTTTAGCGTCAGCTTTTTTGGTTCAGCCTACGTCGGATCTCGCTCTTGTAGACTGGTTGAGTCTTCTTCCACTCCTTGGATCTTGAGCGTGGCAGCAAAGTAATTCAGCCAAATACATGTACTCAAGGTCGCCATTACGACGTTTCAAGCATCATCATGAGGCATCTCCTCATGTCGCTTCAATCGAACAGCATTTTCTATTCTGAAATGCAGGAGATTTGCCTGGCTTGAATGAGACCAAATAAGCGTAAGCATCTCCGGCTATCCCAATGGGAGTCGGGGACAGATCCCCCCAGCTCATTTCACATTCTTTCGTCTGGACCCAGCAAGCTAAGGCTATGGTCTGCGTTATCGCGATGATGCCGGCATCTCTATGGACTATTGTGATTTTTTCAGCAGTATTTGCGCTTGCATCGAGTGCCGTCGTAACTGATTGGCCGTCTCTGGAATTCCACTTCAAGGTCAAGCGGAACTCTATGAATGTACATGGGCAGTCCGATTTTTTCATGTTCGCAAACCCCGTCGTATCCACCGACGGTAACCGCGTACTCTACGACGTTTTCTCAACTATTTCCGATGGCAGGATAGTCTACAACTATTCCTTAATTAACGGCGTCGGCTTCTCCTCAATTTCTTCGCTGGATAACACGGTGGCTCCATCCATAAACTGTCTGGACTCTGAGCTGGGTAAACTCCCACCGATCAACGCTATTGTCAACGCGCTTAATGGTGCTACCGTTGTTTCAAGCACTGGGAATACTTTAATCGAATGTCCAAGTGGAGAATTATTTAAGGTTACCGTCAACGGCTTCGATTTCGCGCTGTGTGCATCAGATTCGTCAGGGTTTACTTTGCAAGGTGGCGATATGGACGTGGAGGTAAAGGATCTCGATAGTCCTGTGGATATCCAAAAGCCAACGAATCCCAAACAACACTGCGAGGCGGTTGCGAAACCAAGTTCTATTACACCCATTGGAGAATCCCTTCTAACCGGCCAGCCGGTTCTCAACGCGACAAGAAACTTGAAAGCTGCATTCGATTTCTCATTTAAGGGATGGTCGTCGTGTTCGTGCAAATCGACACCACGCCCTTGTATCTTTATTCACGGCATGGGAGTGGACGAAGAACTGCCTGGCAATCTGGATAATTATACGGATTATTGGGGTGATCACCTGCCCGACCACGCACCGTGTTGTTCGTCTTTGCAGTTTGCGCATCTGAATACGGTGAATAACACGTGGACGAATGTTGAACAGCAAGAGAAAGTTTGCAATCGAGCGCTTATAGTGAGCGACACTAGTACGGATAGAACGATCTCTGACACTATTGTGGTCACGCACTCGATGGGGAATCTCATGTTTGCTGGAGCGCTTGCAAACGGAAGATGCAGTCTAGACTCCAGCTCAACGTGGGTGGCATTAGCTGCCCCTATGAAGGGCAGTATGTGCTCGGATTTCGTCCAAGAATCCTGCGCGGGTGAGACCAACATAGTATGGGAGAAAATTGGGAATATTACAGGACGATGTCCTGCCACCACGGCGTTGAAATCCCTAGCGTATCAAGGTGGGAATCACACCACAGACGAGCTCGATGCGGCGTATACTGCAGCACAAGAAGTGTATAAGAATAACGTTTACGCCGCCATGTGTAGTGAATGGTACTCTGGCATTCCATCCAAGTATCAGGCAGAATTCTGGGCGCTGGGTACGATGGTTCCCCATAAATCTCGCAAAAATGATGGTATGGTTGAGTTCCAGAGCTGCGCAATTGGAATTCCCGATTCAGAATTTGATGATTCTTGGAAGTCGCGCTTTTACAAGACAAGACTGAACCATTACGATATGGAGTTTTTAACTGGCGATTCATTACTGAATGGGGAGAAGATGCCTCTGAAATGGTTTGAATGTCTTTTGTAGCCATAGAAAAATAGAGTTCTAGTATTATTCAACACAAGTCTTACTGTATTTGCATTAAAATACCAAAAACCTAGCTTAGAGCAGGCATTCGAACCACTTGATAGGCATCTTCTTCTCATCCAGGAGCGAATCTCCGTATAGAAACTCACTGTCGTAGTGATTCAGTTTCGTCTTGTAGAACCTGGACTTCCACGTCTCGCCGAACTTGGACTCTGGCACACCAGCAGCACAACTGTCGAACTCTACCATCCCGTCGTTGTGATCAGATTTGTACGGCACCACATTCCCAAGAATCCAAAATTCTGCCTGGTATTTGGAATGCAGACCAGAATATCCTGCACTGCACATTAGAGCCGACACATTCTTTGTATATGCCTCCTGAGCAGCAGTATACGCTGCGTTCAACTCGTTAGAGCTGTAGTTCCCACCTTGTGATGGTAGAGCCTGAAGGGCTACAGTCGGAGGGCATCGTCCCGTAACATTCGCAACTTTCTCCAAGAGAAAATTCGTCTCTCCAGCACACGTATCTTGGACAAAATCTGACGCCATACTTCCTTGCATCGGCCCCGCCAATCCAACCCACGTCGAGCTAGAGTCCAGGCTGCATTTCCCCGTTGCTATAGCCCCCGCTACCATGAGATTGCCCATCGAGTGAGTGATGATAATCGTATCGGCGATCACGGTTTTGGAGCTTCTTTGACTCACGGAGACGGCACGATCACAGACTTTTTGCTGCAAAGTATCATTGGTCCACGCGTTGTCCACGGTATTGAGCACGGTGTACTTGAAGGACGAGCAGCACGGGGCATGGTCGGTTAGGTTGCCCCAATAGTACGAGAAGGAGTCGACCACTGCAGGCTCCTCTGTATCAACACCCATACCGTGGATAAAGAGACAGGGACGCTTGGTCGACTTGCACGAACAAGAACCATCCGAGGAACCGTCATCGTCCCAGAAGTCAAAGTCAAACTCAGCTTCTAAGTTTCTCTCAACTTGAGTAGGACTCCTTGTACCAGTGAGCAAAGACTTACCAATCGGTGTCACGGAACTCGCTGCCGCCACAATATTGCATGCATCAGTCCCAGTCGGCTCTGCGATGTCTACACTAGTCTCAAGGTACTTCACTTCGATATCCAAATCTCTGCCCGTCATTGTGAATCCTGAAGAGCCCGATGCGCATAACGCGAAGCTGATACCGTTTACGGATACCTTAAACAGTCCGTTAGAGCACTCTCCAACATCACTGCTACCTAAACTGTTTGGCATAGCAGTCGCTTCATTGATCGCGCTGACGATTTCGTTAATCGGTGGTAACATGTCCGATTCCGAGTCCAAACACGACGCGGATGGAGAATCGGTAGAACCGCATGACAAGTAGCCGGCACCGTTTAGTAGCGTGTAGGTTGTTGTACTTGAATCTTCCGAGAACGTAGAGTGAACGTCGTAAAGCACCTGGCTGTCATCGCCCGACAAGATGGGGTTGGCCAGCATGGTGAAGTCCGACTGACCGAAGACATTCATCGAGGTGCGCTTGACGGTGAAGTGCAACTGAAGGCTTGGCCAATTTGATGTTGTCTCGATCTTGCGATTACGTGCATCCACACAGGAAGACTGCATCGAGACGGCAAGAAATGCAGTAACAGTTAATGCCAGAGATGTTAACGGTGGAGCCATCTTGGTCCGGATGACTAGAGATTGTGCTGGATAGCTGGAAAAAAGAGAAATGAGACCATTCCATCTCGCACAAATGCTACGCGGATCTGATAAAGTAAAGCGGGATATGCGTGGGTAAAGTTGATGCCGATATAGATCTGGTCACAAGCGATGGTGGAGTCATCACCGAAGCCGCGCAGTTTACTTTGAGCAATTTGATCCTCAGCTGTCCAAAACCTGATACCTCCCAAAAATCCTGAGCCAAGGCTTTCGTTTTGGCACTGTCACATAAGTACTTGAAGTAATGTTCCCGCTCAGCGAAATCCGCTGTACGTTTGCGTCGGAAAAGTGTCAATCACACTGACATTGGTTTCTCTCGCTAGGCTGCTCGTTGTGGGGTTCTACCAATGAAAGCCTGTTCATCTCACATGATAGCCAATTATTTGTTTTTACTAAATCATTAATCACATTTTTTAAAAAATATATTAAAATACAATGGGCCAAAAATATTTAGATATAGGAGTTTCATGTATTTTAATTTCTTGACTGATTTTAAAATTTGTTATTTTATTATTATTTAGCTCAAAATTAGAACATCATGTCTTTATTTAGAATTCCAGGGACATTCTTGATCCACACAGCGAGGTGCTGCTGTTCACATTCTGTAACACCAGCACCGTGAGCACCATTGGTGATATTGTCAATTCCGTCCTAATTTACACTTTATGGTCTACTAGCCAAACCGCACATCAAACCCACAGGAGAAATTGATTGGTCAAAAAGCAACTAAGCAATCCGTAAAAGCAAGTTTCCACCCCGCACTTCTACAGAGGTGTCTTGCCTGACTAAGGTGTGTGAGTACAAGGGCGCCATATCAATATCTCTACATTAATGTCAATGATTGCAATGTTCGACAGGAAGTGCCTAGTCATATCTCTATTGTATTAATGGAGGAGGCAGTAACAAGCCGGCATGCCCACCCCAACACTGTATTTCATTGCCTCTACGGATTTTATTGCCTCGGATATTCGCGTAAGGACCTTGCTCGAATTTACCACAAGGCGGCAAAGACGATTGGAAACTGGATCAACATCTACGAGAAAACCGGGACCTATCAGCGGGATGAAGCAAGTTCAACGCGAGCATTTACAAAGGAGTATCGAAAGTGGTTGTGTGAATTCTTCAATAAGCAGCCGCTAGCCTATTTAGATGAGGCCCAGGAAGCTTTCCTCATGGATCATCAAATGAGCATATCGAAGACTTCTGTGTGGAGAATATTGCACGAGTGTGGATTTACTCGCAATGTGTTTGAGCGAAGAGCGATGCATATCAAAGAGAAGGACGTGTTTCGCTTAGTGGAAGAGCTCAGTTCTGTCGACTGGTGCCACCGTAACATTGTCTTCTTAGATGAAGTTTCGTTTGATAATCATGGAATGATCCGCAAGCGGGGTTATTCGCTTAGAGGCCACAAGATTGCAATTCGTGGTGATTTCCAACGTAAACCACGCGTTTCAGTCCTGGCATTTCTGGGAGTTGATGGGATCATTGACTATTATAACACTGACGGAACCTTCGACCGTGTCAAGTTTTTCACGTTCTGCAGAGATTTTGCCTATTCAACTCGTGGAAATGTTCGCCAGTACCCTGGTACCAATTCGGTATGGATTTTGGATGGCGCCTCGATTCACCTAGACCCAGAAATAATCCACTTCCTCCGAAGTATTGGAGTGGTTCCTATTTTCCTGCCTGCCTACTGTCCATTCTTCAATCCGATTGCGTTTATGTTTGGCTATATCAAGCAGGCATTTTAGAGGCACTATGTTGAGTCAAGTGGTAGCGACCTACTCCCGTTTGTGATTGAAACGTTTACATGTTTCGAAAATTTTACTATGGCGAACGTCTTTCAATACTGCGGCTGGACAGTGCAAGCTCATTTTGATCCAACGGGCCCCTTGTCAAGAGAGAATCGTCTTGATGCGAGACAGGAGAGCTTGGACGTTCAAGGTATCAATCACAATAACCATTTGAATTTTTTACGAGGCAAACTCATAAATCTGAAAACTAATACAATGGTTTGTTGAAACACTACTCTTGGTGTTCAGTGTCCTCCATATTCTCCATTGAGGCTAGTGGATCAGTCACAGTGGACAGAGGTGGTAGAGGAATATTTGCACGGATACCTTCAAGTGTCCTCTTGCGCGCTTCAAGTGCCTCCTTCTGGTTTGACAAGCTCAATCCAAACATCTCCCAGTGATGGTGTAGCTGTTTGTTGTCTTTAAGCGATGCGTCAACAATATCGAGAGCCAAATCAGCAGATTTAGTGAGGTCAGCTAGATGTTGCTCAACTCGTGCACTAGCTGCCTGGAGCATTGGCAATATCCTAGCTGTAGGAGGGTCTAACACGGCATTCTCCCATGTTGAACGATCCAGATTACGCATGATTTCATTCGCTCACATTCGCCATGCTGCGGCACTACCTTGAAACCTTCCTCCCCAAATTTCACGAAGTCGTTCCACCACCTCAAGAATCGACGTCTCTGCAGCAGCTCAGAACGATCTGTGTGCTCTGGTCGGATATAGGCCCCCTTGAACTCCTCGAGGATCCGTGCATTTGATATACTTAGACCATAGGTGTAAATCATCAAGGTTGCCGTGTCCCCGCGTAGTGACGCAACCCAACGGTTCCATGCTTTTTCAGACTTTGAAGTCGGGATTATACGCCCATTCACCTTAAATCCCATCACCTTGTTCCACGTAGACTCACTCGACTCAACGCAAGTCCATGCATCACCATCTTTAACGGCTTGGCGATTAATATGGCACTTGAATTTTCCCCAAAGCTTGTGCATAATGGCGTCAAACGTGGCTCCGTTTGCAGCAAAAACATCTAGCATCTTGCCTGATGAATTGCGCTTCCCAACCGTGTATTTGACGATGCCTTGGACCACTAGTTGTAGGCGGTGCTGCTCTGAATTATCTGGCGATGTGTTCAGTGATACGCGAGCTCGGTGACTAGCTGGATCTAATGAGGATGCCAAAGACTGCGGTGGTGTTCGCTCCCGCAAAGGGTACGGCGAAACACGCAACCTTGAAGGTGCCGTCCCTCGTTCTGACGTTGGGCGGAGTCCGACACGCAACACACAGTACTTTTGCCTTCTTGTGCACCCGTCAGCGCTGGCCCTGGGGTCCCCGGTCTTGTCGCTTCATTTGCCATGCTGACTCCGTCCCCACCCAGGCTATACTGGTAATGCATCAATGGCTTCTGGCAGTCTCCTAGCTCGCTATACACCAACCAGACGGGTGAGTTCGACTGGAGTAGTGGGAGGCAGCCTTCGAGAGCTTCGTGGGGCGTGGTCGTGCCTAAAGCCTCAGTGAAAAAAAATCAGTGAGAACTGTGAAGGCCTCAGCGGAATCTTGAATTCAAGCCAGCTCAAATCACCTATATTCACGCATAACGCATGCTGTTAGAGAGTTTGCGCGATTTAGCGTGCGGTTTGTTTGAAGAACCGCGCGCGGAAATTTTGAGTAGAACTCACAATAGTCAGTTCTATTCGTTTTGCAGGATTATCGAGGCCATAGTGAGTATTGTTTCCGCATTGTTGGACAAAGGCGGTAACGCTGAAAGCAACATATACGTACTCGTTTCCGCGTGAGCCTTCCCGCGGATGAGAATCCGGCCCGCAAAGTCGAGCATCGTCTGATCCGCTTCTGGGCTATTCTTCCAGCTGATTACCTGCCGAAAGATCCTCAATACATCTTTTACAGCCCGCGGCAAGGCCTATTCATGTCCACTGAGCATATGGTAGTGAAAAAAGTTTAAATTGGAGGTAGAGTGTTGTGCTCACTGAAGCACGTGCGCTTCGATCTTGGGTCACACTCTCCGAAAATGGCCGCAACTGAAGATCGAACCACCCAATGGAGTAGTAGGAGCATTTCGTGTGGCATAGTGTATCGAATAGCCTATAGTATCGAGATAGAGAGGTATCACTTTAGAGATTGATATTAAATAATAAAGGGGCTCTCTCAACCTACTGTTGGTTGAGGGCAGTTGGTCGGGGAGACCAGCACACTTTTGCTTTCTCCCCGCCAGCCCCAAGACTCTCTTCCTCCGGCAAGGGGTCAATCTGATACACATAGACTGCACTGACGCGGCACTCGACTGCCTGTCTTACGTGATTCAACTTATTGAGAGAGGTCACCAAATGGCTTCAACGTATGAGAAGGCTGGTGATCACAAGCCACAAAGTCAGTAAAACATAGCTGAGTGAGTCTAACGCTTGTTCCTCGTCGATCCCCTGGGACCTGGTGTCAGACCGCACCAATCGCTTCAGCACAAACTGGTTAAAGATGCGCTAGTGAGATAGTAGTGATATAAAGTCGTTGAAACTCAGTGTTGTCCTGTCAGGTGATGATGTCCATGGGATTCGTAGCAGTATGCCTGGTAGGCGTCTATAGTAACCATTCCAAGTATTATACCAAGTACTCGATGCATCTATGTCTGTGTAATTCACTCTCACTCATTTGCAAGCGATCCCCTGCGAAGGTGATTGTGAACATCAATCATGGAGAGCTTGCTAAAATACCAATTCTACCATTTGGGGTCGCGGAACCCGTTTTTTGTATCGCTGTGTCTCCATTTTTCCATTTTGAATAATAGTTCGGTGCCGGACACAAATACCATCAGTGCCAGCTAGGGTAGTTCCGCGAATTGATATCAGCATTTTGTGTTTACGGTCTGCCCAACACATTCCTTTTATCCGGATTCAAAAAAGACTCTTCATGATCTTGAAATAACCCCGTGGCGGATCCGTTTCTACCCATTTCTTTAAATCGACTTTGGATACTCGGCCGTTGTTGTCTTTACAATGCCCATGAAGTACAAACAAAGACTTTTCTTCAATTGTACGACTAGTTTTACCGAAGCGAAGGCACTATCATACGCCCTGTTCCCTTGTATTGCTCCACTAACCGCAATCCAACTATAGCTTCCTTCCCCGAACTCGCTGAACTATTGTTTTTGACGTTGACAAGCCGGTCCTTCGATCAGTTCAAGTCTGAGAGGTACGCCACCGTCTCGGTCTGCGAGGGGCATCAGCACTGTCCTTTTTTCTTCGGGTCTACGAGAACATTCGCGCTTGTGGGGAATGTCGTCGTGCGTGTATTTGGATTCACGTTCCTTCCAGGCGCTTATACATTCATCAAAGAATATTATTTTCTAGGAGAAATGTAGTTATTTCTTTGATTATTGAATCCTAGTATTAAGGGTCGTATCGGACACCACAGATGGCCGGTTGACTGTTGTCTGAAAACGCAAGTGCATCTCCTCGAAGCAGTGACGGCTCATCCGGAACCTTGATGTATAGTTTGCTGGTGTGTTCACGTACCCCTCGTTCTCTTTTGAGTCTCAGCATACACCCGTTGGGCCTCGATGTGACTTCACTGCCATTATGAGGCGAATTCCGATCAACCTAAATTAGTCCAATGGGACGAAATGAATTTACCGATTTATTGATGCTGGTCATCAAATCATTTCTTGTAGATTTCCCTTAGGGGGTTTCAAAGTAGCAAATCATTAGAATTTTTTCGCAATTGATAAGAAAAAAATCAAACCAAAAATGGTTTCTGGAGGCTTATCGTTTGGCAGATTTTTTTTAAACTGATTTTTCTTTGACTGGCTGCGAGGCATTGGAGGTTGCCTTTTGAAAACTCCGCAGCAACTACTCAGGTCCACTTTGAGATACCACCAGGCCGCTCCCTACGCTACTACACGCACATGACTTTGTAGGATGTCTGCAGCCAAAGTTTCACAAGACAAAGAGTGACTGTCCCTCATCCGATTCCGTATCCACGGACAAGTTTCCCAACAGACCTGCCATTGCCGTAGATACCTAGTCGCTCCAGTGTTACAGCTAGCTGAATCTGTACATGTCGCTGTTGATTTAGGCTGTTGTTGCAGAAAACTTTTATGTTTGCTAATCAACGCCAACTGAGCTGCAAACACAGGTTTGTCAACACCAAATGCCTGTCTGCTTTTGGCGTCACGGAAAATGCAATAACTCGGCAACCACTGGGAGATGATCGCTATAACTTTGGGGTCACTCGTGCGGACATATGCGCCAACTTTTCCCGTATCGTCTGCAGGCCAGATCCAGCTGGCGGGGAAAAAAAGGGGCCAAAACCACCTTAAAACACACTTCTTCATTAAGTTGCACACGTTTGGTCTAATAACTTGGGAACGGTAAGAGATAGCCCAATTCTGATTGCGGCAATGGATCC